AAGTCATTGATGTATATTTACTTGCATAGATTTAAAATTAAGTTATGTAGAAATATAATAAATAATGTACAATAATATAAAAATATTTTATTTTTATTTCCCCAATAATAATAGGATCATTTTAATAGGGGTATTTCATAGAAGGCTACTTGATATCGGCTCACTATATTAATAACTACATAAGTGGGTATATTATTTTTGAACATTGATTTAATGTCAATTTTAACTTTATTTATTAGATTCCCACTTATTAGTTATTATTATAGTGAGCTAAATATGCGTGCCGAAGTATATAGGTACCAAAAAAAAAAAAAAAATAGTTCAGCGATTATACGCATGGAGCGCCACAATCGCCGTGGATCCACGACTTCGTGCGAGTTGCCCCTCTTTCTATAGTATACTTATTATACTCTTTGCTAGGCCCACAGATCACCATCATTCACTACCGCCGCGTCGCCGCGCCGCCGCGCCGTCAGCCGGACAAAGTAAACATTCTGAAGTTAATTATTCAGTGAAACTGGAGCTTATCAAAGGAAAATTATTTGTTTATTAATTCGTTACATTGTAACCGCAGAATAATTTAACAACGCGGAAATTTTCTTTTCAATGGAAATAAGCTAATTTCTTTTCTGTTTTGATTTTCCAATTTCCTTTGTGAAATGCGTAAGAATGAATTAGGAAATGAACACCGTTTAAATATTAAATAATATTTCATTACGAGAAGAAGAATAATTTATTTTTAGAATTTGTTTACAACAAAACTCCAAACATATTTTCTAAACCAAACTATATCATAAATATTGTTAAAGTTTTTTTTTACATCCATATACGATGTAATATTGTTCTCACAATTGTAGACAAACTTTAGAATATTATTTTAAGATGCGTGTAATTCATCACACGATGTGTTTTATCTTCAAACGCCATCTGGCGGAATATTTCTGTGCGTGAGAAAACTTATTCTTCATCATATTTTACATGAATACAGACATATGTACTTACGATCATTTTAAGACAAGCGTGAATGAATACTCTGTTACTTCTGTTGATTGAAATACCTTCAATCTAATCCTTTTACCTGTTCTCAGTAGCTTTCATAAAGAACTGGAAAGTGGAAGAAAGTTTTCTAGTTCAGACTTCGCGCGCACTAAATTATCGACAATATGAAATGACAAAGTATATAATAGACAGTATTATATCGTTATGGGTATCTTAGTATAGTAATTAATGAAAAACTATATCTTCTACCTTTTTATAAGTGTCAGAAATATCGCTATTATCTCGTAAATATTGGTAATTGGAAAACTTTGAAAATAATCTTTGTTATTGGTCGAGACATTTGAAGTATAATATCTTACATTCTTATACAATAACATTGGCTGAAATTGAAATTTTATATATGTAAATATAAAACCATTAAAAAGTACTTTTAAAAGCACACAAAAAGCAACCGTGCAACCAACCAAAAGCACTCAATCGTCCCCCATTTCCCCGCAAACTGTCTGAAAAACAACAATACGTGTGAAAAAAGAATGGAAACGGGGAAAAAGCGTTCTCGAAAAAAAAAGGGAATCTCCGACATAGAAGTGACAAGCGTGTTCTGTCAAGGATTCATTAGCGCCGGCTACGGGCCCGCTCTATTTATTTATTTAATTTCGCCGCCGCACAAAGAACTGGCCGGTCAAAGGAAACCAAGTTATAGGGCTTACGCTCTATTGTTTACGTGTCGTGTGGTACAAGTCAAATTATTCATTTTAAATGAAGAAAAGATATTTTATTATTTATTGTATGACCATCTTTTTAATACTTACATTATCATATCGCTATTGAATAGATGTGAATCTGGAAAAAGAAAAATGTTTTTTTTAGTTTAATTTTTGTTTCCACATCGGTGCGGAATTAAAAACAACTCAGTAAATAGCCTATGTGCTCTTCAAGACTTAAGCCGATATAGCTCCTTGTAACAAACATCCATCCATACATCAATCTAAACTTTACATTTATAATATTAGTAAGATAAACCGACAACCTTAAACGTTTAACTTGCAAATAAATGTCGCTCTAAAAATTGTCGAATATATTTTTCTATAAAACTGATCCAGTCGTGCTAAGCCCCAGTTCCGACACGATTCTGCACAATACACCTCGCACCGACATTGATACGAATGCGTGTCGCCTATCATTTATTCAGGATTTCGTTTTTTTCGAAAGCAATTACGTTATTGAATCATATATCAATGCTGTCGAAGCGTATTTTTATTATATGTTACTTTAACGTTGTTTAGACATTATTTAAAACTAAAACTGCTAAACTCGTGGCCGTGTCTTGAACGAGTTAAACAGTAAGGAGTTCAATAAGATTATAAATATGAATACTTATTATTATCTCTTTATTTATATAAATATTATCAGGAAATATTTGAAAGTTCAATATAGGGATATACATAACAAAGCTGTAACATTACATAGAAAATCCGAAGCAAAATGAGACAGCAATTTGTTGCGATGCATACATCATGTTATGTAAACTATCATAAAATAAAGCAGCGAACACGAGAAACATTATTCATTGATAAAATATCTTAGAAGTTTCCAGCAATTCATAATTCTACGCTTCGGGAGCTGAACAAAGTTATTGGTTCTCTGCGAAGCGACGACCCGATTTTGGCAATGTACTTATGTCGTTTACTGATTTTTATTGCTGCACTTTTTTATAAGAATAGAGGGCCAACGAGCAGCGGGAACACCGAGGTGTTCAACGTCGCCCATGGACATCTGCAATAACTGAGCAACCGCAGGTGCGTTGCCGGCCTTTGAGATGGTGATACGCTTGCTTCTTGACTTACCCTTTAATATCAATCTAGTTTAATTTTGTATTCAACGCAGTGCGTTTGTAATTACAGATGTTTATGGATAGCGGTCGCTTCGCTATTTCAGCGAATTAGTCGCTTGCGTGTTTGCTACCTAATATTGTAGAATGTACAATATATAATAATTTATGTTGTTCCTTCAATTTGTTCGCTATTACACTAGTTCAAGAAGTATACATATTTGTAGTCAGTTTTTTATTTAAGCCCATTTAATGAGGAACTTTAAGACTGATTTTAAATATAAAGAATGAAACTCCTACAAACGATCGGGAAACTGAAGAAATACAACAAGGCTTTATTTCCGCTTTCAGTTTACTGTTACGATTTAAGTAAAAATTTAAATTAAATCTTAAGATATTTATTAAAACAATATTTTTCAAAAGCTGTTAAGAAAAGTGCAAACGTTAGTTGAATAAGTTAGTTTATGTTTACAACTGAGCTACGTTACGCTCGTAATAACTTAAGAACTATCCACCGGATTTAAGCAAAGTTTAAGTAGGCCAAGCAGACGGACGGTGAGATAGAAGGGCATTAAGTTTTATTATAAATATGACAAAGTTGGATAAGCTTCAGCCTTCGCGTCAACTTTGACCAAAGTCAAACATCCGAATTACTAACATGTTATATCAAACCATTCGGGAAAATTGTAACATCCTGTACCTAAACACCCTGTATTACGTATTTTTTTACTCTTTCTTATATTGAATGGTCATTTTTCTACTTTCTATGAAATCTGCTTGAATAAAAATGACAATGAGAATATTTTTTAAAAGACTGGAATGAATAGCAGCCACTCTATTGGTATTGGTTCAACCTATAGTTATCACTAAATTTCAGAGTCTGCTTTTAAAAAGACATTGTAACACTCTACAAATATTTTACCGCCAAAATTCGCTCTTTAATCAAAGGTTACATTTCTTTTACAAATGTATAAATTTTGCACGAACGTTTTAACATCGTTTAAGGCTATTAAAGTAAGATACAAACTTTTAAAGACTGTATAAAATAACGAGCTCTAACCCTAAGAGCACTGGAATTGAAAGGCCGTAGTGCAACTCACCAGATAACAGACTGAGGCCTCACTAAACTACCAAAATTTAAAACCCGCGCTCCCTTGCGCGTCAACTTCCCCGCAACTCGCGAAATTAGCATGCCGACGCGTCAGTGGATAACCAAATTAAGTTTAAATTAGTTACGGGAGTTCGAAAGCAACTTTTTTACTTGATTATTGGTACAAAGACGCCCTCGACGAGGGTCGCCGCCTATAAATATAACCTAATTCTATTTCCCTCCTGCTTTTGTGTTCTCTTTACTTAGGCTGAGTTTAAAAAAAAATCAAATTGCTTTACAGCGAAGTTAACGATATTTAAATTTTCCTACCAATTGTTATAGATTTGTAAAAGATTTCGAAATCGATAAGAATTTCCTCTTTATTATTTTAACTTTTCGTTTGTTAACTTAATTGATCGAGTAACCTTATTGTTAAAGCTGAATAATTAATTACAGTTTAAACAATTTCTTATAATTATTTTAATAAAAATTTGATATTAAATGGAGATATGTATACACTATCGTGTGTACATATTATAGAAATTTCTTCATTTCCGTCAGCGAGTGAAGGCTTGCGACCGACAAAGGACTTTCTGTTTATTTTTTAAACAGGCATATTTCCCGAGCGGTCAAAGTTAACAGGGACAAAGAAGGTACTCCCACAGGAGCCGTAATGGGGAGACAGTAATAAGTAATTTAAACGACGGAAAAACTTGAAACCCTCATCCATTTATTCATAAAATCACGACCCTCCCTCACGTTGTTCACAGATGTTTCTTAATCTTAAGCAAGTACACTGGAGCCTTGTTTCATACTTAAGTGGTAAAGTTTTCAAGAGATTTTGTACTCCTTGAGGTACTAACGTTATTTTACCATAGTTAAAAAATAAGCCTCCAAGAGGTTAACTTCTTTTGATGCTGCAAAAGTTGTTTTACAAATTATCTTAGTTTTACGAATATTATTATATTTAGATGGATGGATGTTTGTTAGAAGGTATCTCCAAAATGGCTCAACAAATTTCGCTAAAATTTGGCACAGCTATAGAACATAGCTGAAAGAACACACAGGCCAGTAATAAAGTTTTTTTTTTAATGATATCAAAAAGCAATATACGTAGAACTAAATGATAATTTCCACGACATCATTTACACTGATCTTATATACATATCTATGCAATATTAGTCTGAATAAAAAACTTACATTTTCAACTAACGAGCCTGTAAGCTTTTCCTACATCTCAGCTGATTCTGTATGAAGAGAGTATGGTCGAGATGCGCTGGCCTTGCGTTTACGTAGCGTTTTGCACAATTTAAAAATCGACCGTATGTAGGTCACCTCGTATACAACGGAGTAACGAAGGCATTATGTTGATACTAGCTGTCGCCCATGACTCTGTCCGCGCGGAATATAAAAAACGTAATAAGTAGCCTATGTGTTCTTTCAGACTATGGTCTACCTTTACGCCAGATTTCAGTGTTTTAGTTAATATCTGTCCATCTAAACATTCCCATTTTTAATATTAGTATGATAAACAGGCGTAAATCAAATTTAGTAGGCTATTTTTAAATTTCGGAAGATCGATATGTACAAAATATGTTAATAACATTTTTCTTTTTTACTGATAATAACTGCTCTACTTTGTTGTATACAGGATGTTACGTTGAAAGTTGGAAATACAGCCGCGAGCGTGTTTGTACTGTATATCAAACTAAGGTCGTTTAAATTGCAAAATACGCACAAATGTTATCTTTTTATTGAACAAACTTTGAGTACAATATTAACAATCTAAAGATAATTTTCGGCAAATTGCTTTTGAATACGTAATAGTGACGAGCGGTGTAATTTTAAGCCACAGCCACATTCATAGAAAAAGTTATAAAAACTGTAAACTCCAACTCAAAATATATTTACATTTTGTACACGTACAATTAATGTGTGTTTTTTTCTACTATCTTTCGTTATTCAAGTCTGTACGTCCGAGTGCGTGTGGTCACGAACAGACATCGGTCCGGGCCGATTAGAATCGAGCCTCGGGCGATAATCGATTATACGAATTAAACGGACGGAAGCCCGATCCGATAACTTTTATTGGACATTAATAGAGTACTACGTTTCTTTTGTTTTATTATTGGGGACGACCCTCGTCCGGCATGTTCTTAATTTAATTGAAATACGAACAGAGATGGTTAGTAATTCATTTATGGAGTGATGTCTCTAAATTATTTGCTATCTATTATTCAAGTTAATTTAGAGAATATAAGTAGTTAGTTAAACTTATTAAATGCATTTAAAAAAAATATATTAATTAAAAATTATATTATTATACTAAGATAATTTCTTAGGATTGTTTTGTTCTACAATGCTCATTCGTAAGATATCCAAGTTTCTTTCTGATATTTCCAATCCAGTCCAATAGTTTCTTTATGATTCGACTGAACTGGAAGATATGTAACATTAGTATGAACAAATCCATACGATCTCCAAACTTACAACTTGAAAATCCAACTGTAAATTCTCACCAAACTCCCACGGCTATTAACCAGTCAACCTATTTTAACTAAGTTTCTCGCACATGAACCACCGATCCAGTGATCCCGAATATCTTTACTAAATTTAAACTGCAACTGACACTGGATCCCTATTTTTAGGAAATAATTTCGGACTTGCTTTTAAATTTATTAGGACACTAGCAGTTGTCTGCGACTTTGTCAGCACGAACTAAAACAACTAGTCACAAAAATAGGCTATATTACCCGAGGATGCTGTAGCTTTCCAACGGTAAAAGAATTTATCAAATCAATTGAGTACTTTCGTAACCTTTTCAATATAAACAAACAAAAGAAATCTTTCCTCTTTATAACATTAGTATGGAAAATAAATACCAAAACAATTCACCTATCAATCTGTACAAAAGGAATGTTT